ACAGATGAAAGTTGCGTTTGGAGGTGTTGAACCTGTGAGTCAACCACCTCAACGTCCACCTGAACGCAGTAATGAACAGGCAGGACCTTCAAATGCTCCTCTTGCCCTCACAGGTTTGTTTTGGTTATGTTGGTGAAAGATTCAAACTTTTAGTTTGAATTTCTTTCAAGCATTGTATTAGAAGGGATAGACTCATGGTTCCGATGAATTCTGCAGGTCCTGAAGGGTCAAAGAGTGTTCAAAAGAGTGTGACGGAGAATGCGCTTGTTGTTGGTCCAACTTTACAGCCAAAAGGCTTGTAAGTATTACCTTTTGCTGGTTGTTTTGTTGATCTTGATGCTAATTGATGCTTCTAATTTATCGCAAGGATGCTGATTAAAATATATTGGTTTTCGAATTGCAAGGAACAGTATTGGTTCCTCAGGCAAAAGCACCACCATTATTCCTGCAAATGGATCCTCTTATGAAAGGTTTGTTGTCCCGTTCTTATCGTTTTTTTCTTCTTCATTTGGATTGCAATACATAGATGGCATCCTGAGGTGGTGTAGGTAGTTCACAGGCATACAAATTAGACTTCCACTGACCTGAAAGTCTACTAGCTTGTACTTATACGGTAGTTTATCATTCTGAGTATTTATTTTTTGTTGTTGTTGCTGTGTTCCTCTCTGCATGTTACAGAAACTATTCAACTGCTGCATTAATGGAGAGAATACCGAGTAGATGGCCTCGCCCAGAGTGGCATGCACCATGGAAGAATTACAGGGTAAAATCTGTGGCACAACAACGTTGTTTCATCACACTGATTTTGGCCTTTCGTTGGTCTCCTAAAAGCTCTTTCTGTTCATTTGAGGAGTTTGTTGACTTGTGCTTAATTATTCTTTTCACAGGTCATTCAGGGGCACTTAGGCTGGGTTAGATCTGTCGCGTTTGACCCGAGTAATGAATGGTTTTGTACTGGTTCAGCTGATCGTACCATCAAGGTAGAGAGATGAACATCATCTTGGCACACCGCTTCAATTGCTTCGTCTATATGAATTGTATTTTCCCGAAACTGTTTCTAGTTCTTTGACATAAATTTATTCATATATCTCATTATACAAGACTTCCATTCTCTGGGTAGTTACTGGAACTTAAGTTACACTTTGTAGTGTTGCCAAAAATACCCACAACTTTAGTACTTGTTGCAGCAGTCCTGTATGTGGTTCACTTGCTGAATTGCTTACTTGTCTTTATATTCACTAGATATGGGATGTAGCAACTGGAGTTCTGAAGCTAACACTTACTGGACATATCGAGCAAGTACGAGGTTAGCCTCTTCAAATTTCTTCCAGCTTATTTGTTAGAAGTCTCAATGTCGCGGAATAAGTTTTAAGTTTGAGCTTTCTTTTCTTTTCAAAATTCTCTTATAGGCCTTGCTGTAAGCAATCGACATACCTATATGTTTTCTGCTGGTGATGACAAACAAGTCAAATGCTGGGACCTTGAACAGAATAAGGTTAAAACTCTATTCCCGTCCTTATCTGAATTTCTCATAGCTAATACTCTTTAATTCCGCTTTGATAGGTAATCCGGTCTTATCATGGTCACTTGAGTGGTGTCTATTGCCTAGCTCTTCACCCAACGTTGGACGTTTTACTAACCGGAGGGCGAGACTCTGTCTGCAGGGTATGTAAAGCAGCATATGTATATTTCTGCTCTTTTGATGCTTGAGCTTTGCCGAATGTGTAGTTAATAAGTCCATGTTCGCTTATTTGCAGGTGTGGGATATTCGTACCAAGATGCAAATTTTTGCACTCTCAGGACATGACAACACTGTTTGTTCCGTTTTCACTCGTCCAACAGTACGTTTGTTTTCATATGGACTTGTTGTTATGGTTCTCGACTTTCTTTCAGAATCTCTTATAATAATAAACCTGTGATCTTGCAGGACCCACAAGTTGTCACCGGATCGCATGACACGACCATTAAATTTTGGGACCTTCGATATGGTATATCACTATATCTTATCACTATAACCATCGCTTGGACTGAAAATATTTTATTTTCTTTCCCTGGTTGGCTAATCATTGGATAAAGAATTACTGCAAGTATATGGTTTCATTTGAAGATTGACGGATTATTGTATGTAGGCAAAACAATGTCGACTTTAACACATCATAAGAAGTCTGTCCGAGCAATGACCCTTCATCCTAAAGAGTATGTGTCGTGTCCTCCTTCATCTTTCCACCAGCATAGTCTTCAAGATGATTCACCTGAACTTTTCCTTATGTTATCTCTTTGTTTTTTTCGTTTTAGGAATGCTTTTGCTTCTGCATCCGCTGACAACACGAAGAAATTTAGCCTGCCAAAGGGAGAGTTTTGCCACAACATGCTGTAAGTTTTTCTCGTTGTCGTTTGTTGGATCATAACATCTATATAAAACTAAACAGTTCTGATGTGTTCAATAATGTATGTCTTTTCTCCATGGAGCAGTTCGCAGCAGAAAACCATAATCAATGCAATGGCTGTGAATGAAGATGGCGTTATGGTCACTGGAGGTATAAATATTCAATCTACAGATGTTTTTTTTGTGATCGACTTTATTTGATAGGTAAGGGGTGAGACATTGATATATGTATCATACCTGACCTTGATAATAATTTTCAATGAAGGTGATAATGGAAGTCTATGGTTCTGGGACTGGAAGAGTGGCCACAGTTTCCAACAGACAGAAACTATTGTTCAGCCCGGTACGTACATTCACATAGCTTGTTTTATGTTCCTTTGCTCTCGATCTGCTTATAATATTAGAACATGTAGAAGTCTCAGTATGATAAATCACCATTGAACATAGTCAAGTTTGAATCTTGTCGAAGACCCAAATGTTAGAAGAATGTATGATTGAGCTCTAGGGTTTGAGAAGATACTGTAATGGGGGTCTTTGATTAATTGTTGTTTTGGGGGATATGGCAGGGTCGCTGGAGAGTGAAGCGGGTATATATGCAGCGTGCTATGATCATACCGGTTCAAGGTTAGTAACATGTGAGGCGGATAAGACGATAAAAATGTGGAAAGAAGATGAAAATGCAACTCCAGAGACACATCCTGTCAATTTCAAACCACCAAAGGAGATTAGGCGCTTCTAATAAGAAGAAGAAGCTCTGTTGGAATCTTACTAAGCCTTTTTCATGATTCTGTTTTCTGAAAGGGCAATGTACTTTTATGTTTAATGCATTTGTAATATATATATATTTTTTAAAAAATAATAGGTTAATGTAGTTTTATGTTGAGAATACATATTTACTTTCATCTTTATCTCTTGTTTTCTCTTCTTTGGTGCTTAGCAAAAAAAGGCTTTTAAGAACAAGGTCTAGTTTGCTTGTGTTTATTATACTGTTGGTAACTTGGTATGCATCTTCTTCAAAATGTAACAACTATTTAAGCATTTTAAAACAAGTTTTAAAAAAAAAATGATTCTAGAGAAAAAGTACAATGAAAGTGTGATATATTTTAGAAACTTTATGAGTTTGTTGTGCTGTTTTTCTTCCACTATTAATCACAAACGTTGTTTTGAACAATAAAAAAAATCCAAGGATTAAAAAGTGTTGAATATGTTGTAGTACCATAGTAATCAAAGAGACAAAAGTAGTTCTTGAAAAACTGAGAAATAATTGAATGGAAAAGCTGCCACTAAAAGAGACGACGACACTTGTGTTTGTTTGTTATGGTACGTAAGAGACACGTTTTAAGTAAATCTATCATCAGATTCAGATCTCACCGACCTCTACAGATATTTTTGTATCGAAACTACTTGTTTATTCGTAGATCTTTATTCACTTTTCATATG